ATTATTTGATATTTTTCAGCGTCTAGGTATACAGGGTCCATTACTTGGCTTGCAATCTAGGAAGATTTTTCAGCGTTTAATATAATACATATTGAATGGACAAGAGAAATGATGCTAGAAAGATGTTACAACATCAACACACAAACTTAACATTTGGGCAAAAGAAAATGAATTTAGGAAGATACAAATCGTTGTGTCACTTATTCATGAGTTCTGCAAAATTAATAGCATTTTTACAATTCATTCTTTGTTAAATTCAATTAATTTTGCTTCACAACACAATTACATGCTCAAATATGAATGGATGAACATCGATATATCAAAATAACAGTTATGTTTCTATACATTTTATTTTTATTGAATTGTATTTGATTTGATATCAATTTAACTTATTGTTCATGGTACATGAAAAGTACAAAACACAATCACCGCAGATAATTTAACTTTTAAGTCAATGGATAATTAAAAATGATGAATTAAACAAATATGTCAATCAACAACTCTAAGACAGAAAAAAAGCATAAAAGAATGAATAAAATAAATAAACACCATGATACAAGGAATGAGATTGAATTTTTTGGCGGTTCATCCATAATTTAGCATATTATTATGTTATAGTTATCATATTATTCTATTGAGGATAGCATATTCAGCTCTTATATAAGTATTTATATATACTAAACAAATCATTTGTTGGATTACCTACAAATATATTACTATATTGTTTATAGCATATTACTAAAATCTCAAATAATATGAGTGTTATCCATAACTTAACAAGCATGTTAGATTATTATCATCAACATATTACTATACTAAGGATAACATATCAATATATTATAATCATCATTTAAGTATACTATAAATATAATTTTACACAATTTAGTTCATACTTCTCTGATTCAATGCCAATCGCAATAAATTGCTACAAAAACGACACTATAAACATGTTTTCCACAAAACTTATCAAAACAACAAATAAAGGTATCCAAACTTCACATAACATTCAATTCATCCATTACCTCCAACAATCAATTCAATCCATCAACAATTTATTCATTCATTATAGTCAATTTCATGTTCTCTCTTGCCTTCAATCTCGTCCGCCGACATATTTTCTTGCGCTCATTTTAATACGTACCATCTTCGGTTGAGCAATCACATTTACATCTTTTTCACATGAAATCTTTGTACCAGCAGCAAGCTTCGCCTTCTCTCTCACGTACTCAATGTTTTGATTCTTCTCTTGCAACAAAATTTGAACAAAAAACTTTTTCCACATTTTATCCAAAAATTAAATCTTGAATTGACATTTTCAATCCTTAACCCATTTTTCTCACTTTTTTAGGCAAAATCATTTACAATTTCAACATTGTGAATGGAAATTCCCCTAAGTTATTTTGGCATATGAACTAATGGTGTCTTAATTTATGCAGTAAAGACTTTTCAAAAGACAAAAGATATATTTGAGGAAAGATCAAAACATGGAAACTCACTCATTCCATTACGGTACAAAGGGAAATTAATGTGGAATATTTTATTCCAGGAATGTGAGTGATTTACTCAACCGAATATGGTTGAAGATTGGTGATGAGTGATTTGAAGATCATACTTTAGAAAGGAGAATATGGAGTGAAGTTCTAACGCTCTATCCATATCGATTCTCCTTAGTTTTGAATGAGTTTTTGATAGAAAAATTCGCCGGAGAGGTCGAAGGTGTTCGGAATTAATGGAGTTCCAACTGGAGGGAATGATCAAGCTCTGGACTTCTTTGTTGTGTGGTCGTTGTTAGTACGAGGTTGTAGCAACGAAAACCTTATGAGGTATTTTCCTGGGTTAGCCATGACTAGCATTAGAGTTAAATGAGTTGTGGTTGTTTGTGTCCTTAATCAGCACTAGTTAGTGGAATTCCTCATGGATTGGTATCCCCCTGATGTAGATATGTTGATAATCAAACCGGGTCAACAAACACCTTGTCTTATTGTTGTTTTATGTTCTGCATTGTTTTTCGTTGTTGAACGTAGTTATAATTGTTAACCATCCACGCTTCGGGAGTTGGCCCTTTAAAGTGTTCGAATGTATTTTGTTCGATAAATCACTTCCCCAACAAACCTGAACTATATACTACATGCCACAAAGAGCAATTCATTACTTAATTTCTACTATAAGCATTCTTAATTCTATAAGTTAGCATCTAAAAATTAAGTAATAAGAATTTTCAATTAAAGTATTAAGAACATGGGACTATAAATAATCACAGCCATGTCCGATGAAAAATAGAATTTGAATATTGATACATCTTCCTCCTTACTTTTTCGGTGCCGTTTGGAAGCAAAGAGGATGATCGGTGATGAGGCGTAACAGTCGCCGAAAAGAATGAAAGAGATGAAAGGGTGACTGTAATCAGCGGCAGAGGATGGTGGAGAGAAAGAAGAAGAAAAGAGAGAGAGACGTCTGTTGTTGGCGGTGCGTTTAGAGGGCTACAGCGGTCAGCAGTACTGCTCGTCGGATTTGGCAAAGAGATTTGCGATAGTTTGAAGAAGAAGATGGGAAAGCAAGCGGAAATCAGAAAGAATTAACTATGTAAAATATAATATTGAAAAAGACCATCTTACCCTTATTTGATCTAAACTATTAGATCTTCAAATAAAATAAAGATCCAAAATTAATCACCACGATATTGATGAGTGCATCCTAAATACTTGAATTATCTTTTAATTTATTTAAAGTCAAATTTCCTTATATAGGATTGTGTATTTACCCTTCAATATATAAATTCAATTAATCTTATTTCAAATACAATTTAATAAACATATATATATATATATAAATACTTTAATTATTATCGGGAGTTTTTTATTTTAGTTTTTATTTTTTTTTTCCTCCCTGCGCTTTTAGGTTTGTTACTGTGCTCTAAAGAAATTCATTGAACTTGACTACGAGTGAATTATAGTTACATTGTTCAGTTTATGTTGATAGGTCTTTGTTAAAATTTCATAAATAAATTACATGATCTACATATATTAAAATAATTCATTTTTCTTCATATGTCAAAATAATTCTTTTTTTTTTTTTTTTTTTTTTTGTTGATCAATAGGGTGTGTTAGTTTGGAGGTTTGAATTTTGGATTGGGATTTGAATTGTAAAAAATTTAAATTGAATAGTTGTATAATGTGATATAAATAGATATTGATGTGATGTTTTGAATATAAAATTAATTTTTAATATAATATTAAAAATAAAAAATAGATATTTGATTTTTATTTAAGAAATTTTTTTTAATAAATAGTAAAAATTCTGATAAATTTGTCAAAAGGACACACCTTGTAATACCTTATAGCATATTTTCTTTATTTATTCAGTATCTGTGTTTTCTATAATATTTTTGAATTGTATACATGATAGTTAGAAATCGCATGTGTTTTATGTTCATATCATATGCGATATTTGATTAATTTTGACTCGATTCTACCTAATTTATATGCATCTTGTTTATTTATTGTGTGCAGAGGGCAAATATCAAATTTGGTAAAATTGGTAGAAAAAGTAATGAAAAATTCAGATTTGCACCACCTAGTTAGTCATGCCCTCATGACATGGGAAATTAATTAAAGTCCCAAAAGCCCAGCTACAAATAATTAGGGCACAAATTAAATAAAAATGGAGGATCACACGTTTCAGAAGAGGAGAACGGCCAAAGCAGATACGCACAGGAGCAGGAGACACTCATAGATCGGACAGGAGCAAATCGACAGAGAAGATTTCCCCTCCCACGACTTTATCTTTCTCTATTGTTCTTTGTTATTTGATTATAGAGTAGATACTTTTCTGGTTTGAGATATGATAATGTTTTGGTTCTTTTGTTTTGAAGATTCTTAATTTTCTTTATAAAAGTTCTTTTTGATTATCAATATTTGTCTAATTCTGAGAATAACGTTTGTGATTGTTAGATTGATTGAATATTTTGGTACCAATATTTGAATTAGTATGATATTCTAAAGTCAATTCAGGTAGGATATCTGTAATTGTATTCGCACTTGAATAAGTTGTCAGAGCTTATTGATAACTATAACCAATTTATTGATACTTTAATAAGAATTAACTTTATTAAATTAATGATAAAAACACAAGTGTCATAAATGTATCATCCCTTCAGCCAGGCATTCCCTTAATAGCTAGTTCCCCGTCGATTTGATTGCTTTGTTATTTTGTCCTCATTAGATAATAAAAGAAAATTTCCTCCTTTTATTTATTGCATTAGAATACGAAAGAGTAAATCACACAATCCATGTGGAGACGATCCCTTCCCCTGTATTACATTAAATTGTGATCACGGAATAGATGAAATATTTGATTGACCGTACGACAGGTCAATTTTTGGCGCCATTATCGGGGATTAGCGCTTTGTTTTACTCTTTTGTGTTATTTTAATTTTTCCTCCTGTTTATGCCCCGTTCTTCTCGTACAGGTGAACTGATATTTAATCTTGAGATCGAGAAGGTTGAGCGAAAGCTGCGAAAGGAAGCAAAGCAACGAAAAGCTGCTCAGGTTGCGAAGCTGGCAGAATCTTTAAACCACCTCAAAATCTCTAGCTCTAGCGACTCTGAAAGTGATCAAGAGACTGTTATGGCTGAGGATATCCGCACTCTAGGGAGTTGGCTGGTCCCAACTTGGCGCAACAACCCTTATGCATTAACTTTCCAACACTCAAAAACACTATCGCTTTTGAACTGAAATCCGGCTTAATTCATTTACTGTCTTCTTTTCATGGACTTGCAGGTGAAGAACCTCACAAACACTTGCAAGAGTTCGACGTGGTGTGCTCCAGCATGAAACCACCAGGTGTTACTGACGAACATATCAAACTCAGAGCCTTCCCATTCTCACTCAAAGATGCTGCAAAGGATTGGCTCTACTATCTCCTACCTGGAAGCATCGGCAGGTGGAACGACATGAAAAATAAATTTTTGGAGAAGTACTTTCCAGCTTCCACAGCTGCGATTCTGAGGAAGAAAATATGTGGCATCAAGCAACAATCAGGTGAAACGCTCCATGAATATTGAGAGCGATTTAATAAGTTTATCATTAAATGTCCACAACATCAAATTCCCCCTAAATTATTGATTCAATACTTTCACGATGGTTTGTCATTGATGGACAGGAACATCATCGATGCTGCAAGTGGTGGAGCTTTAGTAAATAAGATGCCGGCACAAGCTTGGGATCTTATTGCGAGGATGGCTGAAAACACACAGCAATTTGGTTCAAGAGATGTTGGACAGATGAGCGGAAACAACTGCGACCATGCCATCCAATCGATGCAACAACTTTCTGAGTTGACGAGCTTTGTTCGCAAGATGGTCATGGAAAAATCCAACCCGAGTGTCCAGGTCAAGGCGTGTGGAATATGCACAAGTGCAGGACACCATACAGATGCATGTCCGACCCTCCAAGAAGAATGTGCAGTGGATGTGAACGCTGCAAACTACGGAGTGAATAGACCTCCAGCGTATAATCCATACTCCAACACTTACAATCCAAGCTGGAGAGATCACCCAAACCTATGCTATGGAAACGCACAGCATAATCATGATCCTCAACCATTTGGAGCCACACACTAGATACAACAACCTCGTCCTTATGAGAAACAGTCCACCCAAGCACCCACGAGGAACTCCAGTCTGTCCTTGGAAGATTTGGTGAAGTCTATAGCTACCACTACCTTGTAATTCCAGCAAGAGATGAAGTCAACTGTCGACAAGCTACAAAGTCAGATTAGCCAAGTATCAGAAGAGGTAAAACAACTACGTGAAAGAGGAAAGTGGCCTGCACAACCAGAGCAAAACCCGAAGAACATCAGTGCTATAACCCTTCGTAGCGGAAAGGAATTGGAAGGTCCACATCCTATCTCAAAGGAACAGAATGAGGATCAGATTGAGATGAAGATGGAAAAAGAAGCTAAACTTCACGAAAAGGTACCTCCTAACTTTGTTCCTCCTACTGAAGCTAAATCAGCTCTTTTTCCTGACAAGTTGACAAAACCACAAAAGGCAAACAAACGAAAAGAGATGATGAAAATATTCACGAAGGTGGAACTTAACATCCCGCTTCTGGAGGCTATCAACTAAATCCCCAAGTACGCAAAGTTTTTGAAAAAACTGTGTACTAACAAAAGAAAATTGCAAGGGGACGAGCATATTATAGCGGGTGAGAACGTCTCTATTGTTCTCAAAAGAAAAGTACCACCTAAAACGGGTGATCCAGGTATGTTTTCTATCCTTTTTAAAATTGAAAAAACAGAAGTGGCTAAGGCTATGTTGGACTTAGGCACCGCTATCAATGTTATGCCACGATCACTATATGACTCTCTAAATATAGGACCTTTAAAAGAAATAGGTATTATCATTCAGGTTGCTGATCGAACTAATGCCTATCCTGACGGTATGGTAGAGGATGTACTAGTTCAAGTGAATGACCTGATTTTTCCTATCGACTTTTATATTTTGAATATCCATGATGCACACTGTTTTAACCCACCACCTCTCCTACTAGGCAGACCTTTTATGTGCACTGCAAGAGCAAAAATTGATGTACGGAAGGGCACCTTCGCTTTGGAATTTGATGGAGAAGAAGTCCATTTCAGTATTTTGATGTTGTGAAACATCCTGTTGATTCTGAATCATTATATGCAATAAAAAAGTGGTTCCGACTAATTGAAGATCGTGTTGATGGAACATCTGGAGAAAGAACATGTGAGAGAGATAGCCGTAGACAAGAGAATAAAAAAAGTTCTCAAGGAGCTTAACTTAACTCTGAGAGAGTCACCAATGTATGAATTGGCTCCAACATTCTTACATGAATCTAATCAGTGTTTATTACCATCTTTGATGCAGGCACCTGGATTGGAATTGAAGCCTCTACCTGAAACTCTGAAGTACGCTTATTTGGTAGAGAAGAATACTCTACCGGTGATCATCTCCGTGAAATTGACACCAGAACAAGAAGAGAAATTGACTAAGGTTCTAAAAGATCACAAGACCACCATTGTATGGATGATCATTGACATAAAAGGTATTGATCCCTCGTTCTGTACTCATAGGATCACACTCGAGGAAGATTCGAAACTGGTGAGACAAGCTCAAAGAAAGTTGAACCCGATTATGACTGAGGTAGTCAAGAAATAATTATTAAAGCTCCTCGATGCTGGTATCATCTACCCTATCTCCGATAGTAGGTGGGTGAGCCCGATTCAAGTAGTTCCTAAGAAAGCTGGAGTAACGGTGGAAGAGACTCGAGAAGGAGAAAGCTCCCTGTTCGAAAGCAAAATGGATGGCGCCAGTGCATAGATTACCGTAAGCTCAATGCAGTAACAAAAAAAGATCATTTTCCTCTCCCTTATATTGATCAAATGATTGAAAGACTCTCTGGTCGCGCATATTACTACTCTTTAGATGGATTTTCAGGTTACTTTTTTTATAGCGATAGCACCCGAGGACCAGAAGAAATCATCATTCACTTGCCCATTTGGAGTTTTCGCCTACAAAAGAATGCCTTTTGGTTTCTGTAACGCCCCTGCTACATTCCAAAGATTTATGGTAAGTATTTTCTCTGAGTATATTGAGCGAATCATTGAAGTGTTTCTGGATGACTTTAGCGTATATGGCTCTAGTTTTGATGATTGTTTAAGCAATTTGACCCTAATCTTAAAACGATGCATCGAAACTAACCTTGTGCTCAATTGGGAGAAATGTCAACTGATGGTTCAGCAAGGAATTATTTTAGGCCATAAGGTGTCACATGAGGATATATAAGTAGATAAATCTAAAGTTGAGCTAATCATTGCTTTACCTTACCCTACTTTTGTGCGAGAGCTACGCGGTTTTTTAAGACATGCAGGTTTTTACGGACGCTTCATCAAGGACTTCTCCAAGATCGGAGCACCATTGTTTCATCTCCTGCAGAAAGATGTAGCATATGAGTTCAATGACGATTGCAAGAAGGCATTTGGAGCATTGAAGGAGCGACTCACAACCCCACCGATTATTCAACCAACGAATTGGGACTTGCCATTTGAGCTGATGTGTGATGCAAATGATACTGTAGTGGGAGCCGTTCTAGGGCAACGAGTTGGGAGAGCTTCTCATGTCATCTACTATGCTTCGCAAGCATTGAATGACGCTCAATTAAATTTCTCTACCACAGAGAAATAGATGTTTGCTGTTATTTTCGCTCTTGATAAATTTAGATCTTATCTTTTAGGCACTAAAGTGTTTGTTTACTCTGATCAAGCAGCTCTGCGCTACTTGATGGCAAAAAAAAGGCCAAACCTCGATTAATTCGATGCCTCGATTAATTCGATGGGTGCTCATTCTGCAAGAGTTCGACATAGAAATTCATGAAAAGAAAAGAACTAAAAATTTGGTAGCTGATCACTTGAATTGCATACCCATGGAGTAAGATGCAGTTCCTGTTCGAGAGTCCTTTCCTGACGAACAACTTCTCTCTATTGCAACTACACAACCTTAGTACGCTGATATTGTTAATTACTTAGTCACTAACGAGTTTCTTGCAAGTTGGGCAAAGACGAAAAAAGATAAGCTCCAAAGCAATGCAAAATATTACATTTGGGATGACCCTTACCTTTGGAAGCGATGTCCTGACCAAATCATTCGAAGGTACGTTAATGAAGGTGAATTTTATTCTATTTTGACCTTTTTTCACTCTATGGCATGTGGTGGACGCTTTGGATCCAAAAAGACAGCTAGAAAGGTGTTAGACAGTGGACTTTACTGGCCTACTCTTTTCAAGGACGCATTTGAGTTCTATAAGTCTTGTGATAGATGTCAATGAACAGGTAATCTTTCTTCCCGTAATCAAATGCCTCAATCACCTATGACGTTTGTCGAAATATTTGATGTTTGGGGTATAGATTTTATGGGACCTTTTCCTAATTTATATGGATGCTTATATATTATTTTGGTTGTTGATTATGTTTCGAAATAGGTGGAAACAAGAGCCACCCGAACTAATGATTCTAAGGTGGCTGCATAATTCATTGTCATATATCTTCTCTCGATTTGGAATGCCGAAGGCAATTGTGAGTGACAAAAGAACTCACTTTTGCAACAAAACCATGGTTGTACATTTTCAAAAATATGGCGTACTTCACAATGTGTCAACTTCATATCATCCTTAAACGAATGGACAAACAAAAATTTCCAATCGTGAAGTCAAGTCTATCTTGGAGAAAATAGTTCAACCGAACATAAAAGATTGGCGCTCGCGACTCGATGATGCTCTGTGGACATATTGAACAGCATATAAGACACCAATAGGAATGTCACCATTTTGATTGGTGTATGGAAAGCCTTGCCATTTACCTGTGGAAATTCAATACAAGGTATTTTGAGCAGTGAAAAAGTGCAATATGCATCTTCAAGAAGCTGGAGCCAATTGAAAAATGCAAATTCAAGAGCTAAAGGAGATTCAACAAGAGGCATACGAGAATGCGATACTCTACAAGGAAAAGACAAAAGCCTTTCATGATCATCACATCTCCGGAAAAAATTTTGAGATTGGAAAGAAAGTCTTATTATATCATTCTCTTCTTAAGCTTTTCCCTGGAAAACTACGCTCTAGGTGGATAGGGCCCTTTATCGTTACTAAGCTTTTTCCTTATGGTGAAGTGGAGATTCAGAGTTTAAGGACGGAGAAGAAGTTTGTGGTCAATGGACATTGTCTTAAGTCATATTACGAGGGATTCCCACTTGAATCTGTAGAGTTGGTGCCTCTCGCTGATGTCGAAGTTGAGAACTAAGACACGACGAAGTCTAGCTCAAAGACTATAAAGAAAAGTGCTTTTTGGGAGACAACCCAAACCATCTAATTGTTTTCTTTAATTCTAATTGTTTTTTTTTTTGTTTAATTGCTAATAATATTGTGGATGGTTTTGTTTCATTTGGTGCAAGTCTTTTGAAAAATAATTGCTGGTTCTTGGCAAAGGCGCAATCACTTTTTCCAAAAAAAACAAAAAACAGATCATAACGTGTCATTTAGTCATGATCATGACTAAATGACATGTATAACACTACCTAATTCCCCTTAATC